TTGGTTGTGTAATAGAGGTCACCCAGTTCTTAACTTTCCCCAAGCTGAGTGTTTATAACCAGTTATAGAGGTATAGTGTTAGTATACTTTTGCAGAGGGAAGAAAAGACCCAAATCAAATTTAGTGATGTTACCAGAAAAAAAAAATCAATATTTTAGACTTCAAATAAAAGGACCTGTTTCACACTTGTGGGCTTTCTTTTCACAGGGACGCAGTCACCCAGACAGGGCTGGCTGAATATTTGTGGTGATCTCGTTACAGACACAGCCTGAGCCCAACCACAGCATTTGGCTAGATGATGTTTTCAGTTTATGAGGAAAAAGATGGAGGGGTCAAGTTTGTTTTGGTGAAAAGAAACGAAAAATAGGGACAAGTCAACTTAAAAGGAAAATTCAAAATTAAGATAGGGCTTGATGAAGTAGAGCCGGATAAATCTTTCCAAAGTTCTTGGAAAACCCAAGGCCTCCATCTACAAACTGCTTACTGAGGCAGAACTGAGTGTGTAGAGACATATGGAATAAATTTTCAAGCAAGAGCCCCAAATCAAGTAATATAAACAAGTTCAGGAAACAGCAGTACATTTTAGCAAACAAAGTTGAGATCACAAGATGCAGCGATAAAGCTAATAAAAGGAACTGAGATAACCAGATAAGAGCAGCTCTTGGGTCAAACCATCCATTCGAGCCTAGGTACTTCTTCCTTTTTATCACAGCTCATTGTAGTTCGAAGGTGCCTTCAAATGAATAAATGAGTCCCTTGGGCCTTAGCAAGCTCTTCGGGTTACCTGAAGCTTCTGATTATGATGAGGAATGTTCCATTCATCTAGCCCTGCGCTCCAATCATACTGTAAAGATGGTTCCTGCAGCCAAGTGGTAATAGAGCTGTCACCATGTGCAGCTACGTCTCCTAGCTCCTCATTCAGGAAGTCAGACAGCTAGGCAGGACAGTGACCAAGCAGTATAGATATGCGGAAGTCTCCTACAACCCTGGCCACGGTGACAATATGGCCAAGTGAACAGTATAAAAGAAAGGGGCACTTTAAAGATCATCACCCACCCCCGAAGTCATTGCATTTGTAGCACTCTGTCCAATGATTTATTTGTTACATAAACAAGAGGCTGTTGTTCCCAGTGTTTGCCCTCAAGTTATTAGTCAGCTGCTGACCTCATAGCCTTCACAGCTGCAGCATCCCCACATGTAGTCATGAAACAGATTGTGATGTTTTAACTGATCACTTTCAGAGGTTACAATTGTCAAGTGGAACCAGTATGCTGATTCTTACTAGTTAAATTAAGCCTTGTTACAGCAGAACTACCCAATTCACTCTAATGATGGGGAAATCCAATGCAAATTGCTGCATTTTGTAGATTAGAACACATCCAAGGCTTTTTCTTTATATCTTTCCTTTTTCTTTTTGATTTTTAAAAAATTTGTGGAGGCCATATACCCAAAATGCTTGTATTATACAGTGAAGCGACTTCTTGGAACAGTAAATGGAATGTAACCCCCCCGCACCATATGCATCTTGGTGATAAGTTGGAGTGTGCCATATGACACACTTTAAATCAGGCATTGATTTGCATGACTCTAAGTGAGTTTGGAAGACTCAGCTAAGTGTAATGGATGTCAGGCCTGCTGCAAATCACCTGGCAGAAAGGATATTATCTTCTTCCTTATCGCTCCAGAAGACTAGGCTCCTAGAGGCATGAGGTAGGGTCTTAGACCAATGCCTGATCCCAAGAGGCATCCCTTTGAGCCTCCGTTTGGTCATTGGTGAAGTCTTCACTTATGGCACCAACATATAGAACCCCATTTCCAGGTGCGCTAATATACTCAGCCACCTTGAGTGGACCTATTCTAACCTGGTGCCTTGACCACCTGCTGTTCAGAAATCTTATTGTAGCAGGAGTGATGGACAGTCCTTCCCTAGCAGAGTTTTAAGACACTTCATAAACGACCTTTGTGGGCTCTACAAATCAAGTTTTTCTGAAATGCTTAATTTTGACACCTCAAATCCGTAGACATCGTTGTCCGTCTAGCGTATTTTACAGGTGCACAATAAAAACTAAATCAAAGAAGTAAAGTTAAATTAATGTAATAACTGTTAGTATGCCAAATACAGTGGGAAGCACAAGAATGTTCATCAAAGTAATTTTTCATTATCCAAAAAAAGTCAGATAATAAGTAAATTCTCAGCAGTAGGCAAATAGGTACACTATGGTATATCCATACAATGGAATATTGTGGAGGCATCAAAAATATCTCTGAGGAATATCTACTGACATGGAAAAGTTTAATAATGTGAAATTAAATGAAAAATCTAGGTTGCCAAATTGTATAAATGATATTTCTCAACTTGTCTAAAGTATTATATTTAGTGGGAGGAAAATGCAACAAAATATTGTAATAGTTGTTGAGCGATGAAAATATAGAGTTTTTATTCTTTTATCTATTCTTTTTTTATTTTTCAAGTTTCCCACAATGAATCCGTAATACTTTAGTAATCAGAAAAAAAGTTTTTAAAAGCAGTTTGAGGAGTTTTGTTATAATATTTGCTGCAGAAGTCTGTGTCCAAGGCATCTCAAGTCTAACAGGTCTGGGAATGATCTCCTATCTTCCTCCCCTGATCCTGCCCCTCCTGAAGCCTTCTTCTCAGTTCAAGGCAGCTCCAGTCTTTCAGTTGCTTAGGCTAAACGTCTAAAATTATCCTCGACTTCTCTCTTTCTCTCAGATCCTATATTCTATCTGCTGGTCAACCCAGTAGGCTCTACCCTCAGAATATATCCAGTGTGTGACCAGCTTGTTGCCTCCTCCTCAGCTACCATACCTAGTCCAAGTCCACCTCCTCTCTTGCTGGGATTGTGGCAGTAGCCTATTCTCCCAGTATCTACTCTTTCCTCCTTGTGTCAGTTTTCTACACAGCAGCCAAAGCTGTTAAAATATAACTCAAGTCAGTCATGCCCCTGCTCAGAGCCCTCCAATAACTCCAAAGTAAAAGGCCCACATGGTGTCTCCCTTGTCATCTTTCTGGCCCTAGTCCCTACTTGCTCTCCTCAGTGTCTGCCAGGCCACATTGCTCTCCCTGTTGTTCCCCTCCTACCTTGGAGCATTTGCAGTGGCTGTTGCTTTTACTATGCAGGAATGCTTTTTCCCCAAGTGCCCGTGGCCAGCCCTCTTACTTTACTCAGGTCTTTCCTCAGATATCATTTTTTTCTGAGGCCTTTTCTGATCACTCCACCAAAACACATACACACACATACACGTGCACACACACATGTGCACACACATACACATATGTACACACACGTGCACACACACACACATCCTAACCCCTTTCCTTGCTTTAATTTTCCCCATTTAGCACTTATCTCCATCTAACATACTATATCCTATGCTGATTTATTTATTGCCTTTCTCACCTTGTTGAATGTAAGTTCCATGAGGGCAGGAATTTTTGTTTAAAATTTTCACAGCTGAATCTCCAACCCTGAGAACATGCCTAGTAGTTGCTCAAAAACTACTTTGGGTCCCGGCCATGGAGAGGAAAGATTGTCTGTTATGATTGTGTGGTAATTATCCTGCCTCTCAATTTACCTACCAAGATTGAACCTGTTGATGTGTTGATAAGTTTCTTCTGGATTGCTTTTCTCTTTGTCATCTAAATCAACAATTCTAGATGAATTGGAAAAGCCCAATTCTTTCTTAATATTAAGTTCAGTGTTTAGGCTCCTAATAAATTATTTTAATTAAGTTGCTTTCATTTTCTAACTTAACCACAATTTATTGAGCTCCTATAGTATTCCAGGGACTTCTGGAGAGTGGAGTTAAAATGAAGAAGACATTGATTCTTCTCTTCCAGAGCTTACTGTCTAGTGGACAGACATAATTAAACAATAAATCAAAGTACAACACAACTAATAAAATAAAGACAGTATCCAGTGTGAGAAGGACCACTGACCAATAAGCACAGTAAAAATACAGGATCAAATTCCACAAAATGTGGAATCTATAGAAGGGAGATGAGAAATATTTATATCAACAGAGAACATTGCTCCTTTATCGCTGTTTTGAAAGATAGTGACTTTTCCTCATGAAGGAGGGAAAGGGCAAAGAAATATATTTGGTTTGCTTGGGAGGAAAGACTGCAGGGAATACTAGAAAGAGCAGTGGGTTTAGAATTAGAAGATCTAGATTTGAATTTACCACTGCAACTTGAATCTGTTGTCTGCAAGTCCTGAAGGCTGATCTTAACCTCCGTGAGTTTCTGTTACCTCATTGATTAAAACAGGGAGGCTGGTAGTTAGACCAGCACTAGAGACCATCTCTATACTTCCCTTCTCTGAGTTCTTGAAGGAAGCCTTTCCTTATCCTTCTAGAATAAACATAAACACAAAGGCCAGTTAACATGATGACACAAGGGAATTTTTAAAGGTTTCTGTAATATTTTTCTAGCCTGAGACTTGTCTTAAGTAGTTCTGGGTTTTGAAAATCTTTTTCAGAACCGACCTCATCATTTGTTGAATTCTTCATATTTTTTTCCACTGGTACATAGCTATTCATACATGTAAGTAACATACAGAATTGATACCTGGATATGTTCCTTTTGCTCTTCTTTTTTAGCCACCATCCTTATTAAAGAGATCAAATCTTTCTCTATTTCCTTATTTCATTTGAGATTATGGTTTTGAATGAAAAATCATTATTTAGAGTGCAAAACAAATGACTGTTTTTCCATTTAATTTTCAACCAAAACAGGGGATAAAAGGTAAAACGATTTCTTATCAATCTGTAGTCACTTTTTAATGGACACGTTCTCTTGGCTTGATAACCTATGGCAGCTACTGTAGGATTGGTATATATGTTTCACAGATATTCCCACACTCAGCAATGACACATAATAGCTGAAGTTTTTGTTTTCCCAGAGCAACTTGTTTGGATAGGTAGAACTTATTAATTTACGTATTTCTCCTCCTTGCCTTGTCTCTCTTTCTGTTTTCCAGCCTTTGCAACTGGACTGTGACCTCTGTGCCATAGTGTCAAACTCAGGTCAGATGGTTGGCCAGAAGGTGGGGAATGAAATAGACCAATGCTCCTGCATTTGGAGAATGAACAATGCCCCCACCAAGGGTTATGAAGAAGATGTTGGCCGCATGACAACGATTCGAGTTGTGTCCCACACCAGCGTTCCGCTTTTGCTAAAAAACCCTGATTATTTCTTCAAGGAGGCAAACACTACTATTTATGTCATTTGGGGCCCTTTCCGCAATATGAGGAAAGATGGCAATGGCATCGTTTACAACATGTTGAAAAAGACTGTTGACATCTATCCGAATGCCCAAATTTACGTGACCACAGAGAAGCGCATGAGTCACTGTGATGGAGTTTTTAAGAAGGAAACTGGGAAAGACAGGTGAGTCCTCTAAGAAGCAGCCTTGTTGTCCTTTATGCTGAATCTTTGCTGAGGCCTTTTGCCACCCCTCAAATGAACAGAGCTAAGTTTCAAACTGGTTGTTATATGTTTTTGACTGGTATGATTACTTGATGAGCCAGCAGCTAAGCCCCATTTATTCCACTTACACTAGCTTCTGTTCTCTCCATTTTGATTGGCTTGAGGTTCAGAAAACACTGGATGCTTCCCCAAGATATCTTTAGATTTGTTCTTATTCAGCTCAATTTGCTATTGATTAAACTGGATTTTAGCTGAAAGCGGAAGTCTACTTGTTTTTGTTTCCAAACAGAAATGTTAAGGAACTTTAAGACCTAAACTCCTTTGGAAGTTGTGGCAAAAATTTACCTGAGACCACAAACACAACAGGCTATTGATTTTCTAATAAGCTTTCATAGCTCCTTGCATGCAAATAGACCCTATGGTAGTGAGCACTATAACTTGGAATCCAACATGTTAAGCAGAATATCATATTGAAATTATGCATTACCTAAAATCATTAACAGCAGATTCTTGGAGTGGAAGGAGGTATACATAGCATTCATTCAATCATCCAAAAAACAGTTTACATTTTTTCATTACATTTGTTTTTTTCTGCAGCATTCTATAACCTACCCTTCCCACTTCCTTTTCTTGGGGGCTCCTTTCTTATTCTTCTCATGCTTCCTCTCTCTGCTCCCTCTTCATCCCCCTCATCTCTCACATAACTCTATGACCCACCGTTTTTTCTTCCTCTTTAAAACGATAGCCAGTATATGGAGAAGTGGAATTATGCGTCACTCAATCTTAATTCGCGTATCTAGTTCTAATAAAGAATTGCTAAGCAATATATTGAAACCGTTGTTAAAGTTTTGAGTTATCTGTAAATTTTGCTTACATGTGTAATAGCCATGGTTAAATTGAGTGTTGGCTATAATTCTAATATTAACTTTCTGATTTCCTCAAAATGTATCTTTTTTAGTATTCACTATTGTCAAATCTAAACTTTTACCTACTTGGGGGTATGTATTTGTTTGGGGGGAGTTTCTGATATCTCTGGGTGTAATTTGAATGCTGATAATCATTATAAATCTTATTTGGACCAACTCTCCTATTGAAAATGTGGGTTGAATTTAGCATTTTCTAACTCTGAGCACCAAAAATGCACAGCTTCTAATGAAATGAAAGACAAAAATAGGCAGAATACTGGCCCTTTCCACTGTTAGAATTAGCAAGAGGAATCCTAATGGTTAGATTTGAATTAGTGTAGCTTAAGCAGTGCAAAGAGACAGGCAGTAGAGATAAAAGGAGTAGGTACATGCTTCGAAGAAATACTCTCACATATAGCATCATTCTATATAAATATGACCGTTCTCAAGGGGCTTTGGAAATTTCTGGTCTCATTAGCCCAGAGCAATGCAATTAATTAGATATATTTGGTTTTGCATTAGTCATAGTTAGCCCTTGCGGTGTCCCTTAGTCATAACTATAAGCCCTGGAATCATTTTGGGGTATCAGAGAAGAGCTTAGCATGCCTGTGTTCCTACGCGTTCATACCATGTTGGCTTTTGATATGAACAGTATGAGGATTCAGTAAGGCAGGGCTGTCACAGATGTGTGATTGTACAACAAGAACTGAGAGACAATAGCTTTGGGAGATTCATTTTCTTACTGGCTGTGATGAGGAAGCTGTTTGTCTAGTGGGAAAAAGCTCACCTCTTAAATTAATTTGCAAGCATCATTCAATTGGTAGAGTTACCAAAATAAAAGTAGAAAGAAAGTTAAAATGATTTTATGATGTTTTCTTGCTGTTTTCTTCACTGAGTCTATTCCTGTCCAGTCGCTTCACTGAGTACTGCAACCAAAGAAGACAATTATGCTAGTGTTTCAGAAATGAGCAGGACAGATGGTTTTGGTAAAATATGGCATGGATGACAAAAGGTTGACCAAAATGGGCTCAAAGACTGCTGTCTCCACTGCGATTTAAATCTATATCCTAACTTTAGCTGTGTGGATTTTATTATCTAAGGATTTCCCATAGTGACCTGGTATTCATAGCCAAAGTTCAAACAAGAATATTTTTTAACTTTTTATGAAGGAAAATGTCAAACTTACGAAGTAGAGAGACTAATTGTGTCATGAACCTCTATATACCCACTGCTCAGATGGAATAATTATTAACTCATGGCCAGTCTCTTTTTCATCTATACCCCTAACATTTCTCCTTCCCCAAAGATAATTTGAAGTAAATCCCAGACATCATATCATTTCATTCATAAATATTTCAGCATATATCTCTAAAAGAAAGACTCTTAAAGATAAACACAATGTCATTGTCCTACAGAAAAGTCAGCAATACTTCCTTAATGACATTATAAAGTGAGTTTTCAGATTTCTCCAATAAGGTCTCATTAATATTTTTAAGAGTTAATTTGAATCGGATTAACATAAGGTCCATACATTGTTCAAATCAGGATTAGCATAAGGTCTATACCTTGAAACTGATTGATATGTCTCCTATATTTCTCTCAACCTATAGCTTTTCTTCTCCCCATCTCCCTTATTGAAAAAACCTAGTGGTTTGTCCTATAGAGCTTTCCACAATCCAGATATTGCTGATTGCAGCCCCGTGGTATTTCTTCTGCATTGTTATTTCCCTATTGAGGCTTTAGCGGATTCAGGTCCAACTTTTTTTTTGCCAAGACCATTAGGTGGTACTTTTATTGGAGGAATACTGTCTAGTTTTCTCTCTTTTTATGCTAACCTAACACTCATTAATGATCATTGTCTAGATCCAATAATTCATTAAAGGTTGCAAAATAATGATATTTCATCATTTCTTTTTCATTTATTAGCTCATATAATTTGTAAAGAGAAAGTTGCCCTCATTGACCTTTTGGTTACCATGAGATAGAAGATAGCACACATCCTTTATCTCTCAGTTCTAATGCATTGGTTCCCTAGCATCCTTCCAAAGTGACCAGTAAGTTTATTATTATCAATATTTATGTATTAATTTATGTACTTAAACATGTTTAAAGTATTTCAATTCGTTAAAATTATATCGTTATGCTCAAATTGTCCTTTTTTGGGCTGTGGCAACCTCTTCTAATTAATTGGCTTTTGAGTCCTTTTGACATGTCTTTAGTAGTCTTGGATAGCTTCTTTGCTTCCTGGTATGAAGGATGTTTCAAGCTCTTCTTGTCGATGCCCTAATGCAAACCTAGATTCAGACATTTCTCCAAAAACATTGGTCCTTTTAGTATTTAAGAGAGCATAATCTCGGCGCTATAGGCGCTCATTGCTTCTGGGTTGGTCTTTGTTTCTTGGTTTTTTTCACTGGACAGAGTTAGTATATAAACAATATATGCTGAATGTGTTGTTTAAAGATAAAATTATTATGAGTTCAGACTGAGACTTCTAATTCAAATTCAAGGCTATCAGGTTTTTATTTTACCTCATCTATCTTACATCCGTTTCTTTTTTCTACCATGTTGACAATCACACGTCCTAGTGACACCAATGTAATTATTTACTTGCTTTATTCCACAACATGCACACGACAATCTTAGAGTAACAGCACAGCAAGCAATATGAATACTGTAAACATTTCGAGATTATTTTGCAACAAAGAAGACCTTTTAATGGCAAGCACTCGTGGGGATCCGCGCTCACAAAGTGTGTGCTCGTTATATCCTAACAAAATTTTATTTTTCTCCTAAGCAAATTGGAGTAAGTTAAGTGGTAGCTGACACTGCAGGTGTGAGGGTGTAAGGAAAAAGGGATATCCATTTAATTTGACGTTTGTCGTAAACCTCTTTGGGCTGGTTGGCTGTACTGATTAGAAATTTTTAGCAAGTGCTCATTTTTGCCATCAAGATTTCAATGGAGAGATTTTGTCACTGTTGTGATGCATAGTTTACAGAATTAAAAAAAAAAATCCTTAGTAGTTAAAGTGGTTCATGATAGGAAAATGATTCAATGGATCTCCTCAAAGAAAAAATTTATCTTTCAGCTTGCTTCTTGAAATTGGCAAAATCCTTTTTAAAAAATATAAGCTCCTTCCCCAGTTAAGGTAGGCATTTTTCATTTTTCCAGTCGTTTTTACTTTTGTTTTAAGGAATTCCTCATTGAGGAAACATGAAGTAGTAAAGGAAACATGTAATACTGTTAAATTTCTTAGAATGAGTTTAGGCCAACTCATAAGCGTATTGGGATACTTTTTCAAATGAAGTGAAATTTAGTTTGCTTTCTTATCAGTTACTGACTAAAATTATTAGGCTTGTCAATTAGAAAGAGAGATCTTGTGGGAAAGTCTGAGAGAAGAGGAAGAGAAGACTGCTTGCCCTTTCTCTCTCCATCTTCCGGGGCCCAGTTTGCTCTGGAATTCTGGATCTACTGGGCAGTGGTCACCTTTATATTTTCACTTACCAAATATTTTTCTGGGAGACAACCACCTTCAACTAACCAGAATCCTTTGGGATTAAAGGTCTTACATTCAAAATAATCTGGACCAAAATGGATCTCTTTTTCCCCTTTGAATGATTGGTATGCATAAATAATATTAGCCTGCTGACATTTACATATTTGCATTAATACATCTTAAGGCTGAAATACTCTAGAGGTGCTGTAGGGCTGATGGTGGCACATGGTGCCACACTCAACATTGAAAGAATGTGATTATGTGCCTGGCCATGTACAGATGCAAAACAAATGTTCACTCCCCTGGAGAAGCAGCAGAGAGCTAGCGTGAGATATTCTGCCTACCTGTGGGCAGGTGGGCAGTTGCAGCTTGCATCCCACTTTAGACATACCTTGGCAAATGTAGGCACATTATTTAATTAAGCAATAATTGAGAAACCTATAGTCCCCATTAAAAGCACAAAGCTAATTTAAGGCTGATAAAGGGCCCTGAGCTGCCCTAAATAGGTCTTAATTAGCTGGCACCAATGTGGCTCCGCCTTCAGGGATGGATGAAATTAATG